CGGAGATAGGACCTGTTACAATTCTATGGGACTACACAATACACACTGACAGAACAATCAAAGCCAACCGCCCAGATATTGTTATTAGAGACCACAAACAAAAACAGTGCCTCCTTATTGATATGGCAGTCCCTACTGACTGCAATGTATCTTTGAAGATATTCAAAAAGCTGTCAAAATACAAGGACCTTGAAATAAAAATCTCGAAAATGTGGCATATGGGAAAATCAACAATCCCTGTTGCAGTTGGAGCCCTAGGACTGGTTGGAAAAGATTGCAGTAGACTAATTGAAGGGATTCCTGGAAGTCCATACCTCATGGAGATACAAAAAATTGTTCTGACAAGTACTGCCCACACTTTACGAAGGGCTTTTTATCTATGTAATTTTTTTTTTTTTTTTTTGTCAGTGGAAAGTGTCATGATGCCATTTCTAACCTTAGGTCCCTGGGCGGGACCTGGAAAGAAATGTGTAAACGCCAGAAATCAAAGAAAAAAAAAAAAGATAATAATCTTTATCCATGTAAAATATGTGCGATTTTTTTTCAAAACTTCTCAGTTGAAAATGTCATGATATCATTTCTGACCTTAGGTCTTTGGTTGGGACCCAGAAAGAAATGAGTATACACCAGAAACCAAAGGAAATAAAATAATAATAATAATCGTGGTGAGCAATCGATCCAAGATCAGATTTGTGAACAAGAGTAGCGATGAACAGCTCTCTAATAGACCTTGCGGTACTATGGGATAAGAACATCATGAAGGGGGAGTAGACAAACATACAGAGGTACCAACACCTAACAGGAGATATTTACTAAGCAGCAGCACATGTTGACCTTTTGTGGTTAGCCCTCTTGGAACTATTTGAAAGACGCTATATCTCATGTGCTGAGGAAAGAGTTGTGCCTCAAAGCTGTTGAAAGGAGCTGAGATATGACCATCCTTACCTGGACGAAACATTTAAGAGTCGGAAAGGATCTAATAAGAAGAATAAAAATACATGCTGACTACAAAGTTTCTTTTGACTTTTCCTTTGACGCAGCAGCATGGCCCGGCGTTGCCCGTGCTTGATTCAAAAATCGTACGACTCATGCAGCGCTATGTTTTTGCCCTTCTTTGCCTTTAAAGGAGTGCCCTTTGCCGTGCTGATGTTTCTACATGCCTTACTTCTTGCCTATCTCACACTGCGATTTTTTTCTAAGCTCTATACTAAACATTAAATCTGTTACGAAAAAAAGAACTAAAAATGAACACAAAACGATCAGCTTTAAAAAAGGACTCGTAACTGGAAAAACCAAATGAAAAAAGAAAGTTAACAACAAATACTTTTTCACACCCAACCCAGTTCTGCGGAATCAGAATCAAAGTTGAGTTTAAGCAAGCGAATGAGCCAATTGGAGTAAAGTGTCATGCAGATTTAAATTTTTCCCACTTTCGATTTTTTTTGCATGCTAGCATGCTAGTTAACATTCGTGTCAGTCAGCTGTTGGCTCTCACGCTGGCCAATAGAATCTTCTTGCCTATTCGTGGCAGCCAGCTATAGGCTCTCACTCTGGCCAGTAGAAAATGGCCGCAAGCTACATGAAAACTGCCGTAGAAGCATGAAAAAATCGATTATTTCCACTATCGATGGGCCTTCCTGCTAACTTGGAGCATGTGCATGTAAATTTTGGTGCAAATCCGTCGAAAATTGCGGCCGTGCATTCGTTACACACACACACACACACACACACACACACACACACACACACACACATCCTGCTTTTTATAGAGATTAACCATTACTTTGTAATTATAATAAATTGTTGATAGATTTATAAATCTATTTAATTATTTCAGTGATATGATTGAGGACAGAATTATTCGCCCCCACTGAACATTTGTATATTTCTAAGAATATGTGAATATTTGCAAGTACTTACTGAATTTACCGTAAATAGTTGATTCCACATTTAGTTTTGAATAATTCGGGAAATTTTTAGAAGTTTCGATCTATTATATTCATAGTTATAGATTTTTCTAAAATTTGGTTCGATCCAAAATTATTCACTCCTCTCCTTATGGAAATTATGAAATAATATTGCTCTATGAAAATTGTAATGTTTTTTTTTTTTTTTTTTAATTTGACGTTTAATACAAACACCCTTTGAAAATGAAATAGTATTTACCTGGTTCCATAACATTCTAAAAGTTAATGAAGACAATATGTGAGTGTCACGTACTGCAATAACTCATTTGTTCTGCAGCCATGGCACAGACGACTAAAATTGACAAGAAGCTCCGAATGAAGGTAGTTGATGCGTACAAACAAGTTAATAGATATGAAGCACTTTCTAAGTGATTAAATGTTTCTCGATCGACAATTCCTAGCATTACCAAGAAATGTAACGAGACTCATTCTATTGAGAATAAATTAAGGACTAGCAGAAAACGGTTAATTTCCGAGAGAATTGGAAAGGAAAATTGTTAGAGATGACTCGAAGAATCCTCACTTGTCACATTGTCAATGATTTAAAGACATCAGGGTTGAATGTATCGACGAAGGCAGTCACTAAATTCTTTCATCTGTGTTCTTTCTATAAATACTTTTATGGTAATTGTTCGGATGAGCTCTTCGCCAGGGTCCCTAGACCTTTTTAGTTTTGTTTTTTTTAATTTAAGCGCAGTACTAGACGGGAGCCGAGATCTCATCAATTTAGAGTTGAGCTGGCTACATGTAGCCGTAAATTTTATGCTAATAATTTCTTTTCTCGCACTTTTTGCACGTGGAACTCTTTTCCTGCTCCATGCTTTCCTATCAACTTTAATCTGCAAAAATTTGAATGCAATGCCAAACGCTATCTACTGTCCTGATTACTCTTTTCTCTTCCCACTCATGAGTATTGTTTCTATTCCTAATTCTTTGGCAATCAGTAATCCCTTGTGTCTTAGTGGCTTTACTGTCTTGTTTGGGATTAAACCGATTATATATATATATATATATATATATATATATATTAAGACATTTATATGTTCATACATTTTTTATAGATACAAATATTTAAGTAAATGCTCTGTTTATAATAAACAGTATTAAACAACATTTACCGGCCTGAATACTGTTTATTATAAACAGAGCATTTACTTAAATATTTGTATCTATAAAAAGAATGTATAAACATAAAAATGTCTTAAAATAATTGTCGGACTTTGTCCATTTCATAATAATGACGTCATATATATATATATATATATATATATATATATATATATATATATATATATATATATATATATATATATATATATATATATATATATATATATATATTAAGAGATGGACAAAGTCCGACAATTTATTTATTAAAGACATTTTATATGTTTAACGTTCTTTTTATAGATACAAATATTTAAGTAAATGTTCTGTTTATAATAAACAGTATTAAATAACATTTACCGACCTGAATGTCCGAGAAATTTTCATAGAAAATATTCGTCCTTTGACAGGATTCGAACCTGCATCCTATACGGTTAAGGCACGTCAGCGTAAATGACGGTTCCGTATAGGATGGAAATTTCTCGGACATTCAGGCCGGTAAATGTTATTTAATACTGTTTATTATGAACAGAGCATTTACTTAAATACTTGTATCTATAAAAAAAGAACGTTAAACATAAAATAATTTTAATAAATATATATATATATATATATATATATATATAGAAAAAGTTGCAAATTAAAAAAATAATGTCTTTTTTATGAAAGTATATATATATATATATATATATATATATATATATATATATATATATTTGATATTTCAGATTGATCTCAATCTTTCTTCAGAAATAACTGTGTCTACAAGTGGCGTCCGTGGCGAGATGCGGACGTCAAGTGATATGGAACGCCACTTCGTTTGAATAGTCTTAACGTAAACCTAACTGTAATAATGTTTTAGATGTTTAAAAAAAGAAAAGAAAAAGGAATATCTTTAGAACTACATGAACCCACTAAATATAACTTCTTGTCATAAGTAAGAAATCGTATCGAATTAAAGAATTCCATTAATTGCTAATATATATATATATATATATATATACGTAAAACCATAAAAATAACTGGGATGCCTACTCTAACATGTATGCACATGAAATATAACGTTTATAATAAGAAATAATGTAGGAGTAAAATGAAATAACTGCTCAAATATATATATATATATATGTCTGTGTGTGTGTGTGTGTGTGTGTGTGTGTGTTGGTGTGTGTGTTGTGTGTGTGTGTGTGTGTGTGTGTGTGTTGGGTGTGTGTTTGTGTGTGTGTTGTGTGTGTGTTGGTGTGTGTGTGCTTATTTTTTATTTAAAAAAAAACAAGACCTCTAAGTCGAATACGATCTCTTTGGAATTTCAATATATTCAAGCGCTAAAACATTTTGCCTCTCAAACAATGCCGCTTTTGTGTTGCACTGCGGGTGATGCCATCAAATTGAACAGAATCCATAATGTCGATATTCTAAAATCGAAGTAGCTAATTTTTAAAATCCCATTTTTCGATAGTTCTTAATATAGCAAAATAAAAATTGGAAATCGAAAATCCGCTGTTGATTTGGCGGTAAAATTATCATGCATCCAGGGGTGGGCAAGTCACACACACACACACACACACACACACACACACACACACACACACACACACACACACACACAAAAAAAAAAAAAAAATGGCCAACTGTTTCTTTCTC